TTCCGTTTCAAAGAGAGCAGCCACTACTGAACAGCTCCCGTCTCCAAGGCAGCACCCAGTATTCAACAGACTCCGTGTCCAAGGGGGCGCCCAGTATTCAACAGGTTCCGTCTCCAAGACAGCGCCCAATACTCAACAGCTTCCGCGTCCAAGAATGCACCCAGTACTCAGCAGACCCCGCTGCCAGAAAGCACGCGCTAGAGGTTTGTTCTTAAAAAGCGCGACCCGCCCGCCCCCCGCCCGCCCGCCCGTCCGTTTCTGTTTCCAAAAGAGCACCCACTAGTCCATGGCTCCGTCTCAAAGAGAGCACCCGCTACTCAAACAACTCTCGTCTCCAAGACAGCACCCGGTATTCATCAGACTCCGTGTCCAAGAAAGCACCCACTATTCAACTGACTCCGTGTGTATTCGACAGACTCCGTGTCCAAGAAGGCACCCAGTTCTCAACAGACCCCGTTGCTAGAGAGCATTCCTTAGAGGTCTATTTGGAAACCCGACCCGCCCACCCGCCCCCGGCCCGCCCGCCCGACCGCCCGCTTCTGTCTCCAAGAGAGCACCCATTACTCAACAGACTCCGTTTCCAAGAGAGCAGCCACTATTCAACAGCTCCCGTTTCCAAGGCAGCACCCAATATTCAACAGACTCCGTGTCCAATGGAGCACCCAGTATTTACAAGCCTCCGTCTCCAAGACAACACCCAGTACTCAACAGACCCCGTGTCCAAGAGAACACCCGCGTTTCAAACAACCTCCGTCTCCAAGACAGCACCCGGTATTTCATCAGACTCCGTAGGCAAGAGAGCGCCAAGTACTAAACAGACTCCGTAGGGTACTCACCAGATCCGTGTCCAAGAAGGCACCTAGTACTCATTAGCCCGCTGCCAGAGAGCACCCACTAGAGGTGTATTTAAAAACCAATCCCGCCCGCCCGCCCCCCGCCCGACCGCCCGTGTCCGTCTCCAAGAGAGCATCCATTACTCAACGGACTTCGTCCCAAAGAGAGCCCGCTACTCAGATAACCTCCGTCTCCAAAACAGCACTTTGGTATTCATCAGACTCCGTGTCCAAGAGGGCGCCCAGTACTCAACAAGCTCCGTGTCCAAGACAGCACCGAGTACTCAACAGACACCGTGTCCAAGAAGGCACCCTGTGCTCAACAGACCCCGCTGACAACAAGGACCCACGAAAGGTCTACTTAAAAAACCCGACCCGCCGGCCCGCCCCCCGCCCGCCCGCCCGCCCGCCCGACCGCCCGCCTCTGTCTCCAAGACAACACCCATTACTCAACAGATTCCGTCTCCAAGAGAGCACCCACTACTCAACAGCTCCCGTCTGCAAGGCAGCACCCAGTATTCAACAGACTCTGTGTCCAAGGGAACACCCAATATTTAAAACAGGTTTCCGTCTTCCAAGGAACAGGCGCCCAGTACTCAAACAGTCCGCGCGGGTCCAAGAATGCACCCAGTACTCCACCAGACCCCGTGCCAGAAAGCACGCGCTAGAGGTTTGTTCTTAAAAAGCGCGACCCGCCCGCCCCCCGCCCGCCCGCCCGCCCGTCCGCTTCTGTTTCCAAAAGAGCACCCACTAGTCCATTGGCTCCGTCTCAAAGAGAACACCCGCTACTCAAACAACTCTCGTCTCCAAGACAGCACCCGGTATTCATCAGACTCCGTGTCCAAGAAAGCACCCACTATTCAACTGACTCCGTGTGTATTCGACAGACTCCGTGTCCAAGAAGGCACCCAGTTCTCAACAGACCCCGTTGCCAGAGAGCATTCGTTAGAAGTCTATTTGGAAACCCGACCCGCCCACCCGCCCCCCGCCCGCCCGCCCGACCGCCCGCTTCTGTCTCCAAGAGAGCACCCATTACTCAACAGACTCCGTTTCCAAGAGAGCAGCCACTATTCAACACCTCCCGTTTCCAAGGCAGCACCCAATATTCAACAGACTCCGTGTCCAAGGGAGCACCCAGTATTTACAAGCCTCCGTCTCCAAGACAACCCCCAGTACTCAACAGACCCCGTGTCCAAGAAGGCACCCAGTACTCAACAGACCCCGCTGCCAGAGAGCACTCTCTAGAGGTCTACTTAAAAACCCGACCAACCCGCCCGCCCCCCGCCCGCCCGCCCGCCCCGCCGCTTCTGTTTCCAAGAGACTCCATCTCCAAGGGAGCACCCGCTATTCAATAACCTCCGTCTCCAAGACAGCACCTCATGGTGCCAGTTTTTTCTTCACGGGGATGCCATGTGGACTACCGCAGGTCACGGTTCTGAATGCCGTTCCAGTTCTTGTTCGGTTTCCGTCTTTTTCGAAGCCAAGGAAGCTGCAGGTCACGGTTTTTGGTTCCGGTTCCGGTTCTGGTTCCGGTTTCCTTCTTCTTCGGGGTCCCACAAAAGGCCCCCAGGTCACGGTTTTGGTTCCGGCTCCGGTTCCGGTTTCGGTTTCCTTCTTCTTCGGGGCACAAATAAACCTACCAGGTCACGGCTTTGGTTCTGGTTCCGGTTCCGGTTCCGGTTTCCTTCTTCTTCGGGGCCCTAAAGAAGACCCCCACCCCATGGTCACGGTTTTGGTTCCGGTTCCGGTTCTGGTTCCGGTTTCCTTTTTCTTCGGGGTCCCAAAAAGACCCCCCAGGTCACGGTTTTGGTTCCAGTTCTGGTTTGGTTCCGGTTTCTTTCTTCTCCGGGGTCCCAGAAAAAACCTTCCATGTTACGGTTTTGGTTTTGGTTCCGGTTCCGGTTTCCTTCTTCTTTTCCGCCCCAGAGAAGACCCTCAGGTCACGGTTTTGGTTCCGGTTCCGGTTTTGGTTCCGGTGTCCTTCTTCTTCGGGGTCCCAAAGAAGACCTTCCAGGTTACGGTTGTGGTTCCGGTTCCGGTTTCCTTCTTCTTCTCCGCCCCAGAGAAGACCCTCAGGTCACGGTTTTGGTTCCGGTTCCGGTTTTGGTTCCGGTTTCCTTTTTCTTCGGGGACCCGAAGAAGACCTTCCAGGTTACGGTTTTGGTTCCGGTTCCGGTTTTGGTTCCGGTTTCCTTCTTCTTCTCCGCCCCAGAGAAGACCCTCAGGTCACGGTTTTGGTTCCGATTCCGGTTTTGGTTCCGGTTTCCTTCTTCTTTTTCGCCCGCAGAGAAAACCTTCCAGGTCACGGTTTTGGTTTCGGTTCTGGTTATGGTTCCGGTTTCCTTCTTCTTTTGTCGTTTGAGACGGTCGTCGAGGTTCCAGTTCCGGTTCCGGTTCCGGTTCCGGTTTCCTTCTTTTTCTCGGTGCCCACGGGCGCCTCAGGTCATGGTTCTGGTTTCGGTTCCGGTTCCGGTTCCGGTTTCCTTCTTCTTCCCCGCCCCGAAGAAGGCCTCCTAGGTCACGGTTCTGGTTCCGGTTCCGGTTCCGGTTCCGGTTTCGGTTTCCTTTTTTTTCTTTGGTTCGAGGGGCTCCCGAGGTCCTGGTTTTGGTTCCGGTTCTGGTTTTGGTTCCGGTTTGCGTTTGCCTTCTTCCGGCGCTCTTCTGTTCTGGTTTTGGTTTTGGTTTTGGTTTTGGTTTTGGTTCCGGTTCCGGTTTCCTTCTTCTTTCCCCTCCCGAAGAAGGGCGCCGAAACCACCACCAAAACCACACTCGGGTGCTGGTTGCTGGTGGTGGTGGTGGTGGTGGTGGTGGTGGTGGTGGTGGTTGCGTGGTGGTGGCGGTGCGGCGCGGTGGTGGCGGGCGGATGGGCGCGCGAGAAAAAGGCCCGCACTGGGGCGAGAACGCCATCCTGTACGAGGGAGGCCAAACACCGATCCGAAAATGAGGCCCACGCTGCAGCGGGAGCACGATTCGGAACGATTCGGGAGCAGAAATGAGGCCGGCGCCTCAGCGAGAGCAGCATTTTTGAAAAAACACAAGCGAAAACCCAACTCCGGGGAATCCTGTGTGTAATATCTCTTCGCATCCTTGCCCCTCCCCTCCCCCTCTTTTTTTAAAAAAACATTACGCGGGGGGGTGCCGAATATCTTCCGGACGCCATCAGGGGAAGTGGGAGAGTATTTTCATATTGTGTAATTGTGGAGGGGGAGGAGGGGGAGGAGGGGGAGGAGGAGGAGGGGGAGGAGGAGGAGGAGGAGGAGGAGGAGGAGGAGGAGGAGGAGGAGGAGGAGGAGGAGGAGGAGGAAGAGGAAGAAGAGAAAAAGGCAAAAGGAAAAGGAAGTAAAGAGGAGGAGGAGGAGGAGGAGGAGGAGGGAGGAGGAGGAGGGAGGAGGAGGAGGGGGAGGCGGAGGAGGAGGTAGGAGGAGGAGGAGGAAAAGGAGGAGAGGAGGAGGAGGAGGAGGAGGAGGTGAAGAGGGAGGAGGGAGAAGGCGAGGAGGAGGAGGAGGCGGTGGAGGACGAGAAGGAGGAGGAGGAGGAGGAGGAGGGAGGAGGAGGAGGAGGAGGAGGAGGAGGGGGGAAGAGGAGGAGGAGCAGGAGGAGGCAGGAGGAGGAGGCAGGAGGAGCAGGAGCAGGAGCAGGAGGAGGGAGGAGGAGGAGGAGGAGGAGGGAGGAGAGGAGGAGGAGGAGGAGGATGGAGGAGGGAAGAGGGAGGAGGGAGGAGTGGAGGAGGGAGGAGGAGGGAGGAGGAGGAGGAGGGAGGAGGAGGGAGGAGGAGGAGGAGGAGGAGGAGGAGGAGGAGGACGCGGAGGTGTTTCCGCCTCCTCGTCCTTCTCCACCCGTTCCCTTGTGAGTAACTCCTCCATGTCGCACCACTGGGCGTTGCGTTGTGTTTGAGACTTCCCTCACCGTCTGGGCACACCGTGGCGGAGGAGGGGGAGGAGGAGGGAGGAGGGGCATGAGGCAAGGAAAAGGGGGAGGTTTTTCATCGTGCTCCTCCTCTGCAGACGGAGCGCCTGTGGTGTCTCGGCTCAGCTCGTGCACGAAAAGACTGTAGACAGAACGGGGCGAGGAGCAGAGAGAGAGAGAGCACGAAGGATGCAAGCGCGGGTGGCCTGCTGCGGGCGCCAAGTCCTCCTCCTCGCGCCCGCCGGCGTGCCTGGCCCACCCAGGACGCCCGCGCCAGAGAACAGGTGCCGGCGGGAGCACAGCGGCTACTGGCGGGGGGGGCGGGTGCGAGGGTGCGGCGCCCTTTGCGGAGGCCCCACCTCTCCCTCCCTCCTTCCTTCCATTCTTCCTCCCTCCCCCCTTCTCCTGCCCTCCCTCCTCCAAATCCTCTCTCTCAGCCCTCCTTCCCTCCTCCATTCTCCCTCGCGCCCCCTCCTCCGCGCCTCCCTCCCTCCTCCCTCCTTCGTCAAGCCTCCTGCTCAGTCCTCCCTCCTCTTGGCCCGGGAGTGGTTCATTGCACTGGCAAGAGAAACGGCAAGGTCAGGGACATCCCCAAGGGCAAGGCGGCCAGGTGTGTTTGACTGGCGCGCCCAGCCAACACGGTAACTGTGGCCGTCACCACCAGGATCGGATCGGGAAACGCGTGCGATCTGTTTTCGTGCAGCTACGCCGAGTTTCTTAAGAAGCGTCGGGGGGCGTCACCCCCGCCGACAGCCCCACATCGACCCCCGTCGCGGGCAGCCACCGCGCGCCGAAGGCGCTCCGCCCCCCGTCGCGGCGCGACGACGAGGCGAGGCTGACCCCAGTCGGGGGGGTACCCCCCCGCGCTTACAGGGGCCCATGCCAAGAAAGACCCTGCTTGTCTCCAGGGTGCCATGGGTTTTTCGGGTTTCGATGGTTTGCGATGGAGAGCGCGACGCTCCCATGCCAAAAGCCGAACGCCCTGAGGTCTCAGGGTTGGGTTTCTTGCGGAAGGTTTCTTGTGGTCGGGCCCCTATTGTGTTAAGAAGTTCAGAGTATGCTTTTGTGGGAAGCCCGCTGCCACCGACGACAGAGCCCCTTTTGCGCCTGAGGGCCAGAAAAAAGGGTGCATCAAACAAACGTTGTGTCGGGCATGTCCCTCTACAGGAGGAGTAGTTTTGAGTATGTTTGACAATGTTTGATTGTTTCGTCCAAAGTCCGCCTGTACGAGGACACGCCCGACCTAGGGCCAGAAAAGGGTTCATCCAAACAAACGTGATCCCGGCCACCACCACCCTGTCCGTGCGCCCTAATTACTGCGCTTTTGTTTACCGCCCTGTCGTGGCATCTTCTTCTCTGCCACCTCCTTCCCCGTCCTTCCTTCCCTCACATGCCTCCGTCCCTTTCCCCGTCCTTCCCTGCCCCTCCTCCATCTCCCCATCCTTCATCCCCCTTCTCCCCTGCCCCCCCGCTCATCCCCCGTCGTTCTCTCCCGCGGGGACTGCGAGAGGTCTGGGGCGAGGAGTTCCTGCGGAGCTAACCTGGGCCACCAGCCGCTCAGAGGGGCCACGGGTGTGCTCCCCCGGGGCTGCGCGCACGAGCGTGGGGCTTCCGTTGGCTTGCGGGGAGCCAAGTCGAGCACGCGACGGGCGCACCGTGGGCGTTCGCGAGCGATCAGCATCTCCCACACTCGGTCACGCGATGTTCTGCACGAGATGTTCTTGGAGCATTTCTGGCTGAGGCCGTCTTGTTTGAGTGCGTCGGCTTTCTGTTATACGGAGACCGTCTTTGTTCTTAGAACACTGTTGGGGGTTCCAAGGACATGTCGCGGCAGGGTTACAAGAATGCCGGGACGGTCGATCCTTGCTCAACATTCAGCCACGCGCAGAAGGGGGGTGGGGGAGAGGGAGAGCTTTTTGGAAGCCTTCCTGTTTCTCAGCAGACGCGGGCTTCGCCTGCAGGTGTAGGCCAGCGCCTTCTAAGAAGCAGTCTCCTTCCAAGAAGTGTTCCCCGCCTACCCCTACCCCCCTCTGCGCGCCGCTAACACACGTGGATCAGGGCCTCCCAGGTGGGGTCAGAGTAGGTGGGGGTCGGAGGATCGCCCCGCATCGCCGATGCATCGGCGATGCGGCTCTGTGCGGAGCCCGATGCTCCCGATGCCGACGTTGCCTTGGCGATGCGGCGCGATCCTCCGACGCCATTTACTCGGACCCAATCTGGGAGGCCTACAGTGGAGGACGGACCTGCTCCCTACTTTCACCGTCGCTTTGGCGCCAGTTGTGCCGAGGCGCCCTCTATAGATAACATAAAACATAACATAATAACAGCATACAAACAAAACTAAATGTGCCGAGGCGCCCTGAGGCGACAGTGGAGTCGTATCCCCGGCCGCCCCGGGGCGGCAGTGTATACGGCAGGAGCGATCGTGAGAGAGTCGCACCGTGGCTCTATGGCGCGCACGCGCGACCCTCGATTCTTGATGCTAGCGCTTTTGCACGCGGATCTGCCTGGCAATTGCAGGTTCCGCGAGCGCTCTCTCCAGCAGCACGTCGTCGCGGTGTTCGCGCACGGGGGGGGAGTATGCCTCCCAGATGGTGCTCCGAGTTGGTCGATACGACCGGGGCGCGCGCTCCTCCGCTGCACGAGCGGGAGCGGGTGTGAGCGAGGATGGAGAGCGCAGATGGGGCGAGGCGAGGGCGAGAAGCAGGGGGCGCTGGTGCCCGAGCGCGGTGGAGGAACGGGGAAGCGAGGAGGGGGCGAGGGACGGGGGGGGAGTGGGGGCGATAGGGGAGGGAGGGAGTGGTGCAGGGGGAGGCGGGGAGGAGGGAGGGGAGGAGGGGGAGGGGGGCGGAGGAGGGAGAGTCGGAGGGGGAGCGGGGGACGCACTGCTTCTCTCTCGCGCCGGCGGGGGCGGGGAGGAGAGAGCACCAGTGCCACGTGGCGACGAAGCTGACCCGGGCATCCGGGATAGGGGGGAGGCGGAGGAGGAGGAGGAGGAGGAGGAGCAGGAGCAGGAGCAGGAGGAGCAGGAGGAGCAGGAGGAGGGGGGGAGGAGGAGGAGGAGGAGGAGGAGAGGAGGAGGAGGAGGAGGAGGAGGAGGAGGAGGGAGGAGCCGACGGAGGAAGTGGAGGAGGAAAAGATGGACGAGGAGGCCGACGAGAAGTAGGAGGAGGATGAGCAGGAGCAGGAGGAGGAGGAGGAGGAGGAGGACGAGGAGAAGGAGGAGGAGGAGGAGGAAGAACAAAGAAGAAGGAGGATTGGGAGGACGAGAAGGAGGAGGAGGAGGAGGAGGAGGAGGAGGAGGACGAGGAGGACGAGGAGGACGAGGAGATGGAGGAGGAGGGGGGGGAGGAGGAGGGGGGAGGAGGAGAAGGAGGAGGAGGAGGAGGAGGAGGAGGAAGAGGAAGAGGAAGACGAAGAAGAAGAAGGCGACTAAGAAGAATAATACGACGAACCATAATAATATTACGAATCACGATAATAATAAGAATAATAAGGGAAGGAGGAAGAGGGAGGGAGGGAGGGAGGGAGGCAGGGAGGACGAGGAGGAGGAGGAGGAGGAGGAGGAGGAGGAAGAGGAGGAGGAGAAGGAGGAGGAGGAGGAGGGGGAGGAGGAGGAGGAGGAGGAGGAGGAGGAGGACGGGGGGAGCAGGAGGAGGAGGAGGAGGAAGAGGAACAAGAAAACGAATAAGAAGACGAATAATAATAGTAATAATAATGATACTGGTATTGATACTGATAATGATAATACTACTACTACTAATAATAATAATAATACTAATAATAGTAATAATAATAACAATAATAGTAATAATACTAATACTAAGTTCAATACTAATAATGATAATGATAATAATAGTACTAATAATAAGAATACGAATAATAATAATAATAACACTAATACTAATACTAATACTAATAATAATAGTAGTAATAATACTAAGAAGAAGAGTAATAATAGTAATAATAGTAATAGTAATAGTACTAATAATAATAGTAGTAGTAATAATAATAATAATAATAAGAATAAAAAATACACATAAGAAGACGAGGAGGAGGAAGAGGCAGGGATGGAGGCAGGGAGGACGAGGAGGAGGAGGCGGAGGAGGAGGAGGAGGAGGAGGAGGAAAAGGAGGAGGGGAGGAGGAGGAGGAGAGGAGGAGAGGAGGAGGAGGAGAGGAGGAGAGGCGGGGAGGAGACGGGGGGAGCAGGAGGAGGAGAAGGAGGAGGAGGGGAGGAGGAGGAGGAGGAGGAAGGGCAGGAAGAGGAGGAGGAGGAGGAGGAGGGAGGAGGAGGAGGAGGGAGGAGGAGGAGGAGGAGGAGGGAGGGAGGGAGGGAGGGAGGCAGGGAGGGAGGGAGGGAGGCAGGGAGGCAGGGAGGACGAAGACGAGGACGAGGAGGAGGAGGAGGAGGAGGAGGAGGACGAAGAGGAGGAGGAGGAGGAGGAGGCGGAGGAGGAGGCGGTTTTGCTGCTAGATCCAACCTGGCACCACCTAGCCTCAGTCAGCCTTCTGGGAATTTTAGTGGACGGGCAGGCACACTGAGAAGGTGCCACCACTCGCCCGACCACTCCTCAGTCCAGCGCTCTCTCCCAGTAGGCATCCCGCTCACACTGTAAGAGTGAGCGGCACGCCTCGCCCAGGGAGAGCTTCACGTTATAAGGGTGTCTGCATCGGCGCAGGAGCGAGCGGCGATAGTCGGCGGTCGTGTTGGCGGGCCGACTGTCGCGCACCTGAACCAACTTACATCCCCGCTCGCTCGAAAAAACACCGCACCGATCGCAGAAGGTAAATTGGCCCGTGTGGTGTAAATCATGGCCGAGGGCCTCACCGCGCAGGGCTGGTGGGTTAAGGTGCTCCCCCTCCCCCCGTTCCACGACGAAACGACGGTCCACGCGAACCTTCCCCTTACACGGCTTGCGCCTCAGGGTCCTTTTGGCCCCAGGGGGGTCGCGACAAGAGGGGTCGCGACGGGGGGGGTCGCGACGGGGGGGGTCGCGACGAGGGGGGTCGCGACGGGGGCGGTCGCGAAGGGGCGGTGTCTCGACAAGGGGGTCGCGCCAGGGGGGTTCGCCAGGGGGGGGGTCGCCACAGGGTGCGGGCCTGTGGATTGCTGGTGGGATGGTTCCCGCGGGAACCCGGGTACCCCAGCGGCGGCCCCCTGCCCTCGCGCGGGGGTGCCGCCAAAGGGACTCGCCCTCCCGCGGTCCGGGGCGGACGACCCGCCCCGACACCCCCCGACACCCCTCGACCTGCCCCGACCTGCCCCGACGTCCTCATATTCCTCATTGTCATCATCGTCGCCGCTTGCACATTTGGGCTCAAGCTTTGGCACTGGCTGCCTCAAGCCTCGTCGTTTTCCGGGGTGGTTGGGGCACAAGGGATCGTCGTCCTGCGGTCTTGTGCAGGCAGGGCTGGGACGTCCGCTTCGGTTCCCGTCGGTTCGGTTCCGGGGCCGCCCGGTTCTGGTTCGGTTCTGGTTTTGGTTCGGTTCGGTTCCTCCCAGTTCGGGTCTGAATGGCTTCGGCTCGGTCCTGTTCGGTTTCTCGTGTTCCTTGTTTTGGTCCGGCCACGTCACGTCACGATTTTCGGTTATCGGCGTCCGGTTCGGTTTGAACCCTTCATGCAAGCGGGCTTCGCGCTCGCACGTCGAAATCGTTCGAACGCCCTTGCGCGCGTGCTGTCGCGAGCATTCATTGCAAAGGACTGGACGAAGTGCACGCCCGCGCGTCGTCATGCGCATGCCGAAATCCTTTAAACCGTTAGGTGTCGCAAGGATTTCAAAACCGAGTGTCCCAAAGCCATATACAATATTCCGCCACATTAGTTGTTCAACAAAACTTGCGCTCGCGCTCTCGCGAATTCTTCAGACAACCACGCTTGTTCCATCTTCTTCATTGAATTCTGCCAAACGGGCCTCTCGCACCGCATGCCGAAATCATTCGAACGCCCTTGCGCGCGTGCTGGGGGGGGCACGACTCGTTTCAAATAATGATTATCATGCTGCCACTCTCGCGCATCGGCCGCGCGCGCATGTCGAAGTCCTTCCAAAACGTTCATCACCGACGCGAGGACGCCGTCATCGTCGTCGGCGTGATCAGCATCGGCGCCGTCACTGGCCGTGTCGTCGTCGCTGTCAACATCGTCACCAACATCGCTACTAACAACATCATCGTGTCTACGGCTGTCAACGTTGCCATGATACCGCCTCTGCCCCAATCGCCGACTCGCACTGAAGTGCCCGCTGGGGTGTGCCCATCGGTCAGTCCCACCGCGGCCGCGTTGGTCGCGCCAAACTAGTTGGCCGCTGCGTGCACGCATGGTCGGGCTGGCGCGGCCGCAGAGCTGCACCAGCCAGCGCGTAGCAGTCATCGCAATCGCCGCCGCATGGGCTTTTGCAAACCAAGTTCTGGGTGGGTGGGTGGGACGATTGTCCAAGCAGTGGAGTTGACATCTGCGACCTCCACAGGTGCATTCTCTGCCGCGCTTGCGCTCTGTCTGTATGTCTATGCCGAGCGACTTCGCTACATGTGGCACCTCTGCACAACCAGACCGGCTGTGCGGTAATTGCGCTGTTGCGGAGGTTCTCGCGCCAGGCTGGGGTGTGCCGAAGGCCAGCAGGTGTATCGTGAGATATCATGCGTTTCTTAGCGCGCCGAGGGGGGATTCGTTTGTGCATAGGTCCTGACACAGCCGATAATTTTGGTCGTTCGGCTAAGCGGGCATGGAGTGGCGTCTGTTACTTCTAGCTCGATTGCTCGTTCCGCGTGCGGTGGGAAACGGGGCCCACAAGCACCTCGGGCGAGAGTAATCCGTTGAACGATTTAGGGCAGCCATGGCACATAATGCTGGTCGACCTGAGCTACCCGCGTTGGAGGTCAAGCAAGTTGTACGGTTATTGTGGGATACCACGAGGAGGAGGAAGAACATGAAACGTTGCAAAGGGCTCGGGGAAGCAGGAATGGGCAGAGGGGGAACGGCGAGCTAAGCACGCTCGCGCCGTATCTTGGTTCCTACACATTCCGCCCGCCACTTCACATTGTGATGAATCATGGACTCCCCGACGACTGGGTTGTCCTAGAGGGCCTTCCTCAAAATGACCCCATTGCGCGATGCGCAATCAAAAGGGCGAGCTTGCACATTTGAGGAGGAGGGGGTATCGGACAAGCAGGAGGAAGAGCAGGATGGTGAAGGGGAGGAGGAGGAGGAGGAGGAGGCGGAGGAGGACCAGTGAAAACCCAAGAGCCATCATCAGTGTTGAAACACACTGTCTCTCCAAGATCTTTCTTCGCAGGACCCCACAAGGGATTTCTATCCACGGAGGGAAGTGCCCCGTTGGGGGACAACCGTGCGAACACCTTGAAACGTGCCAAAACACCACTCTCGGGACTTCAACGCCACGTGTTAACCTGATTGTAACGTGTAGGCGATCCTGAATCGTGCCAGAATGCCATCCTTGGGATGTCAACAACGCAAACCAAACGTAGCCGTTGCGCAGCCCTGACTCGTTCCAAAACGCCGTCTCTGCTACGTTAACCACGAGAACCAGCGACATTCTTGCAACACGTTGACAGGAATGCGTGCAGCGCTAAGGCGAGAGCCACATGTTCCCAAGGAGCCGCCCTCTGTCCGTGAAGTCTGGCATTTTTGTTAGAATGCATGCGCGCGGCGTTACGGCGAGAGCCACAGTTTGAAAACCACCCGCCCTCGACCCGTGAAACTCTTGCAAATTGCCAGATCGAATGTGCACGGCGCCAAGGCGAGACCCATATTTTGAAAACCAGCCGCCCTCAATTTGCGAGACTCTAGCAATTTTGAAGAGCGAATGCGCGCTGCGCTAAGGCGAGAGCCACATCTTGAAAACCACCCGCCCTCCATCCGTGAAGCTCTTGCACATTTTCAAAAACGAATGTGCGCGACGCTAAGGCGAGACCCACATTAAAAGAATCAGTCGCCCTCAATCCGTGAGGACTTTCAAA